AAGGCATTTGACTGCTAACCAGAAGGTTGGCAATTCAAACTCACTAGCCACTCCGCTGAAGGAAGATGGGGCAATCTACTCCCGAAAAGATTTACTGCCTCAGAAACCCAGTGGGGGTTGCTGAGTCAGAATCCACTCAATGGCAGTGGGTTTGGGGTTTTTTTAATGCATAAAATGTGAAAATAAGGTATAAGGAATCAGATTCTAATACAACAGTTGATTGCTTGGGCACCTTTTTTTTTTTTTTTTTTTTGGCAAGCTTCTAGCAATCTTTTCATCTACAAAGACAAGTACCAGGCAATACTCCAAGTTTCCCCACCACCACTCTACCCCCACTGCAGCCTCCTAGACACCTCTTAGCTGATTCAGTGACTTGGTGTGAGGTACAGAGCTCATTTTACCTCTGAACATGAGGGCGAAAAAAAGAAAATTCACTGCTGCTGAGTTGATTCGACTCATAGCAACCTCCTCCTTGGGTTTCCGAGACGCTATCTCTATGGAAGTAGATTGCCCAATCTTCCTTCCAAGGAGTGGCTGGTGGGTTTGAACTACCAGCCTTTGGTTAGCAGTCAAATGCCTTAGGCACTACACCACCAGAGCTTAATGAAGGATAAACCCAAACCCCACTGCTGTCGAGTCTTATCTGACTCATGGGGACCCCTCCTTGGGTTTCTGAGGCTGTATCACTACGGAAGTAGATGAAGTAGATTGCTCAACCTTCCTTCTGAGGAGTGGCTGGTGGGTCTGAACCGCCAGCCTTCTGGTTAGCAGTCATATGCCTTAGGCACTATGCTACCAGAGCTGGTTAATGAAGGATGTTGTTGTTATGTGCCATCGAGTCGGACCCGACTCATAGCGACCCCTCCTTGGGTTTCCGAGGTGGTATCACTGTGGAAGTAGATTGCCCCATCTTCCTTCCAAGGAGTGGCTGGTGGGTTTGAACCACCAGCCTTCTGTTAGCAGTCAAGTGCCTTAGGCATTATGCTACCAGAGCTCCCTAATGAAGGATACTCAGTTTAATGTTTCTAGATATGACATTAGGAGCTCTGGTAGCACAGTGCCTAAGGCACTTGACTGCTAACCAGAAGGCTGGCAGTTTAAACCCACCAGCCACTCCTCGGAAGGAAGGTTGGGCAATTTACTTCCATAGTGATACTGCAGTGATACTGCCTGGGAAACCCAAGGAGGGGTCGCTATGAGTCAGGTCTGCCTCGAGGGCACATAACAACAGACATGACATTAGGGGGGTATAGAAAGGGCAGGAAGCTGAAGTCATCTTTAGCAGAAATCCCTGCCCACCCAAAGCTCCAACCTCTAGCACCAAAACAGGATTGATCCCCATTAGACTCCTCACAAGAGTACCAGTTTTTACTCCTTTTTGTCTCCAGGCTCCACCCCATCTCTGCGAGCTGGGCTCACATGATCTCCTGATGTCTGTCCCCTGTGTCTTGCCATCAGACTCCAACAGCCCCCGGTTAAAGCCAAGGATCTTTCCCTGTAATGTTCCCCATTTTCTGTCCTGAGTGAGAGGGGTAGAAGATAAAAGATGCCATTGTAGCCACTGGCTTCACACACTTGCTGTCTGCCTGGCTCTCAGGACTGTCCCACTTCTAGGAACTAGGTTCCTACGATGACTCAAACCAGCCCTGGAGTTCATGGGAGCTTCCTCAAGACTTCTCAGGACTCCAGAGAGAAGATATCAAATCTCTCCACATTCTTCCTCTGAGGAGTGGCAGTGGCATCACTAAGGTTGGCGTCACCCAGTGCAGTAACTCATGGTGTCACACTCCTACCATAGACCTCCTCCCATACCAGACCATTCCAAACCCTTAGTAATGTTTACTATCACTTTTAATCATAGAATAGTATGTGATAAATATAGTTGTGAATTGGTTAAATGCAATGTTTCTCAGATTGTATGAATACTAACAACAAAATTGTTCCGTAAAATCTTTCTACATTGAATTACCACATTATTAGTTGCCACATTATTAGTAACTGAGCAGAAGGCCTTTTTTTTTGGTTTTTCCTCTTTCTTTTCCTTTAATTATTACTTCATTCTCAAAAAAGTTATTGATATAGGTTCACAAATACTAATTACTACAATACTGTAGCTAAAGCACCAGAAAATTTGACAAAATCAGTGACTGTGAAAACACCAGCAGCAATGAAAGCAACAGTGGGTGCTCGTAATGTGTGCACATGAAGCCATGTGACTCTAACCATCATTGTTAATTGGATAATAATGACAGCTCTAACAAGAGTGCGTAGAAGTTTCAAAAACTAAATTAGAGTTTTAGCCTCATAGGAGCCCTGGTGGCATAGTGCCCAAGGCTCTTGACTGCTAACCAGAAGGCTGGCAGTTCAAACCCACCAGCCACTCCTCGGAAGGAAGATTGGGCATTCTACTTCCGTAGTGATACAACCTCGGAAACCCAAGGTGGGGTCACTATGAGTCAGATCTGACTCCACAGCAGTGAGTTTGCTTTGGTTCTTGTTTTTACCCTTATTTTGATACACATAAGCTGGACTTCCGAAAAGTGTTTTTATTGTTATAACTAACGACAGGAATATTTTTATAAAAATAAGAAATTTCTGCTGAAACATCGCACAGAAATTTTATAGACAGTCATTTTGGTGTCACCCCCTCTGACAGTGATACCCAGTGCTGTCTGCAGCCCCCTAGTGACACCACTGTTGAGTGGGTGGTATGAGCATCGTGGTCCACTTCTGAGGCAGAAGTGTAGTGTAGAAGGCGAGTGGGCAGCTCAGGTACAGTCACCCAGGGGCAGAGCTCAGATTTTCTCCCAAACCATCTTCACTTGCTCAGAGGTGACTTCTGAAATCAGCTCTTTATTCATGTAACCTATAACTTCCCCATGTCCAGACCCTGCCAGAATGATCTCACTTTTAGAGCTTAGGATCTGCCAGGCACCACAAGACCTGTGTTTTCACCAGTCAGCTGTCAGTTCTGCCCAAATGCTTTCAACCTGTGACCCTGACCCTTTTTCTTTACGTGGGCTCAGAAGTTAGGAGTAGCCATGGAACCTTCCTTTTCCCTTGACCTGCTCCAGGGGGCCTATTCCTCCCAGCCCTGAGATGAACAATTGGTATGGAGCTGGGCAACCAGGCCCCGAAGGCTCTTTCTGGCTTTCCAGGGAAAGAGGGTCCCCTGAAATAGTGCTTGCTCCTTGGCCCCTGAAGATACTAACTGAGTAATCGGTAAGCAATAGGTCAGCCAGTGTGCCAGTTACAGAGGGAGACAGAATCGTCTAGGTGGGTATCAGGTCTTCCAGCTACCAAGACCCCTAGAGAGGGGGGGTAACAGGGTCCCTAAGTAGTGGGCTTGCTTTGAGAGGTGCTGAGCAGGGAAGGTGAGACAGCCTCTTCCCAAGCAGCTGGTGGGCTGCCCACCTGTCTGGGTGGGGCAACAGCTCTCGCTGGTGGGGAACAAGCTGGGGAAGGTGAGGCTGTCCTGAGGAAGAGGAAGCTCAGGAAGCAGCTTGCTGACTCTCCCTGAGCCCTGTGAAAAGAGGACTCTTGCCTGGGGCCCTTGTAATCTGGCGTTGTAAACAGCCAGGACACACCCAACAGCTGTCCTCTGCCTCTGCAGGACCTATCAAGGGACACAGACAGGGCTCTGGACTTGAGAAGTAGAATGCCAAGGGCAGAGGGGAGTGGGGAAGGATGTGAAGCACAGTGATGACAGCTGGACAGAGTCCTTTTCCCCCAAGCACACAAAAACAGAAAAGTATTTCCATCCCTGGAAGTTGGCACTTCAGCCTAAAATGGAATCCTGACAATCAAGGCTCTTCCATAAGGGCTGACACTGTTCTGAAGGGATGAGAAATCTAGCAGGGGACAGCTGGGCACAGACAGCAAGAGCAGGCTGATCTGAATGTAAATCCGTGAGGACAGAACCAGGGCTGTTGTATTCACTAAGTGCCTAGAACTATACCTGCCATATGGTAGGCCTTCAATAAGTATTTGAATCAGTCAAGGAATGAATAAACAGTACTCCTCAGAAGGAAGGTTGAGCAATCTACTTCCATAGGTACTGCCTCGGAAACCCAAGGAGGAGTCGCTATGAGTCGAATTGACTCAACGGCAGTGAGTTGTCTTGGGTGTGTGTGTGTGTGTATGTGTGTGGACTGAGGAGAGCCTGGCTACCTGAGTGAGGGGTGGCTGTGTTTGGATGAGAGGACTGTGCTGGCAGGGTGAAGAGAGTTGGGTGTGCCCCAGTAAGGGAATGGGGGCAGGTGTCTATGTTGAGGTGCCTCCTGGAGTTCAAAGGGCTCTTGCAGGAGGGAGCCAAGACAGAAGAGGTGAGCCCAGGTCCATACATCACCCCTCCACAGATGTGGTCTTAGTCATGGGCATGAGCAGGCTAAGAGCTCAGGCTCAGGCCCAGCCCTAGAACCTCTTTCCCCAGCTCCAACTAGCCCAGCCCTTGTGCCAACCCCTCCCTGAGAGATCATCTCTAGCTCCCGGCCTCCAAAAAAAGAACCGAACTCACTGCCATCGAGTAGATTCCAATTCATAGCGACCCCCATTGGGTTCCTAAGGCTGTAGATCTTTATGGAAAAGTAGATTGTCCCATCTTCCTTCTGCAGAGCAGCTGGTGGATTTGAACTGCTAACTTTCTGGTTAGCACCCAAAGCCTTATCCACCGTGCCACCAGAGCTCCTTAACTCTCTGCCTCAATGCCCTGAAATGCCTCTCAATTGGGCAGGTGCAGAGACAAGACTGTGCTGGAAATGAACTTGATGACAGCATCCCAGGGATCGAAAAAGAGAAACAGACATTAAGACAAAAAAGCCACCTGGCTTACAAGCGGTGATCATGAGCAAGATCCTGCCACAAGTGAGCACCAGTACCATCCCCTTTCCCTGAGCATCACAGTGCCTGCTACCCTCGTTTCCCCTAACCTATTTCCCTCCACATTCAGTACCCAGTAGCAGTCAGATCCCACAAGAAAGCTGGGCAATTCCTTAGAGAAGAATTAGATTTAATCTGTAACTATGAAATATCTAGGTTAGCAGCAAATATAGACACCAGGACACTGGGCAGAATCTGTCCCCCGAAAGCATACATCAGGACACAGAGGCCCCCTCAGTTCACAGAGGTGGCTGGCAGGATGTTAGCTTTTCGCTCAGCTTCAATGCAGTACTTCTCAGGAAGGCCACTGGCTCTGTGGGGAAAACACAGGACAGGTATGAGGGGTGGGGTCAGACCAGAGAGGAGGCAGCAGGGAGATTGGTCCTGCTCCTCCAGTGCACCTACCCCAAACACATTCTCACAAGGCCCCAGTATCCCATCAGGGAGCTCCCAGAGAGCCAGGAAGAGCAGGAGGTTCAGTCCCCAGTCTGTTGGGGCCCTTCAGTGGACAGCAGCCTGTCTGAGACAAGACAAGGGTACTCCCACGATAATCTAATAATCTATGAGATAGACACACAAAATAAACAGGTGTGTGAAGATGAATGGGACTACACTCACAAACATATATATAGGTTTGACAGAGGGTATTTCTACATATGTATTTATATGTGTTGTGAATATATCTATTGATATAGTAGAGCACACGAGGGCAAAGATACGAAAAAACTTCATAGCCATAACCAAACACTTTGAGAGAATGAGTCACTGAGCCTGGGGGCTTGGGACCTCAGGGGGCATCCAGCTCAACTGGCATAACACGGTCCACAAGACAATGTTCCACATCCTAGTTTGGTGAGTAGTTGCAACTGGGGTCTTAAAAACTTGTAAATGGTCATCTAAGGTACAACTATTGGTCTCCCCCCATCTGAACCAAAGGAGAGTGAAGAAAATCAAAGACGCATGGAAATAATTAGTCCAAAGGACCAAGGACCATGTGAACATGTGAACCTCAGCCTCTGGCAACCACTCTGCAAGGGATCACGATAAAAGATCTCGGATAGAGTGGAAGAAAATGTGGGAAAAAAACTCAAAATCATATATATATATATATATATATATAGGCATGCTGGTCTGATAGAGACTGAGACTATGGCCCTTAGTCACCTTCAGACCTGGAATTGAACTCATCCCCATGGGTCAACTTTCAGCCAAACAATAGACAGGCCTATAAGGTGAACAGTAACTCCAGGGAGGTACGTACTCCTTGGAACAATCAACCATATGAGATCAAAAGGGCATCATTTGCCCAGGGATAAAGCTCAGGAGGCAGGAAGAGATAGAAAGGAAGGATGAATGGAAATGATAAACACAGAGAGGAAGTGGGAAGAGTGCTGTTACATGGTAGGAATTTCAATCAATGTCATAAAACAAAATGTGCGTGAACTGTTGAATGGAAACCAATTTGCTATGTAAACTTTCACCCAAATCAAAATAAAAAGTTAAAAAAAATATTTCATTGACTTCCTATATTTACACTATATGATAAATAATATTGGCGGGGAGAGCGAGCAGAAGCGTCATCCCTGAGCACATGTGTCACCGCCCCTTCTCTCTCCAGCCTGCTGTGCCTTCTTTTGGGGAAGGGGAGAGGAGCTGGGGGAGAGGTGTGAGGGGTTCCCTCACACCTCAACTCTTCAAGTTTTTTCTTCTTGATCTCATCAATGCGCTCACGCCGCTTCTGGGCCTCCTCTTTGAGGCGCCGGCCCTCCTCAAAGACAGCAATCCGGTCCTGCACTTGCTTCTGCTGGTTTTCCCGCACCTGGCGCCTGAGCTCGTTGGCATGCTGCAGGCGCCCGGTAGCCTTTTTCTCCTCCTCCAGCCGCTCCTTCTCAATCTGTTCCCTCTGGGCCCTAGAGGAGGAGCACACGGAATGGAATGGGCTGGACCGAGGCACTTCCAGGGGATATGCTTCAGAGAACACAGCCCACCATGCTCCTGCCTCTTCCACAGCTCAGAGATCAGGCCCCAAGTTGCCTGCCCTTCTTGGCTGCCAACACATGGGCTTCCCCGCCCACCTAGCTACCAGCCTCATGAATATGTGACCCATACAGTAGTGCAATGCCCCATGTTAGAATGACCAGTACTTGGTTTAATGCTCCACTGTCACTATTTTTAAATTCTTAATAATTTTTTAAGAAGGGAACCCACCTTTTCATGCACTGGGCCCTGCAAATGATGTAGCTGGTCCTGCAACCAGGGTTTCATCTGCTTGATGCTATTGTTCCTACTCTTCTCTCTTATACTACTGCATAACTCCTCTCTAGTTGTTCTACCAGGGAGCTCTGGTAGCATAGTGCTCAGGCATTGACTGCTAACCAGAAGGCTGACAGTTCAAACCCACCAGCTACTCCTCGGAAGGAAGGTGGGGCAATCTACTTCCGTAGTGATACTGCCTAGGAGACCCAAGGAGGGGTCGCTATGAGTCGGGGTTGACTCAACGGCACATAACAACAACAACAACAAGTTGTTCTAAGATTTGTTCTTTTCTTTCTTCCTTTCTCTCTTTCCTTTTTTCTCTTTCTCTCCCCTTCTAACAATAACAGTTAAGCCAACCAGGGGGATGCTATACAGTAAAAGAAGTGGTAACATCTATAATGCATAGTTGCTGGAAGGAGGATGGAGCTGGGCCTGCTATCTCTTAATTCTTATATTGATCCATCTCCCCTAGTTCCCCTTAGGAGCCTCTTGCACAAGAAGACTCCATGTACCCTGACACCAGGGAGAAAATCACTACTGGCAACCCGATAGGCTCAGAAAAGTCAGATGAAATTTTTTCAATTCTCAGAGGAAATGCAGTCATAGGTCATCATGAGTTAGTATCTAATTTCTTTCTCAATATAATTTTTTTAAAAATGTAAAATCATCTGAGCCAGGATCTCTTACCTGCCCTCCTCCCCTCTCACCTCAACAAAAGTACTGAAAGCACTGCTTTGCTTACTCATTGCCTTGGAGCATTCTTCCCGATCCACCATACACGGGGTATCCTCTCAACTCCCAGCAACTCCGTTCCATCATTCAAACACCTCCTAAAATGCTACACCTTCTACAGAGCCTTCCAGTTCTCAGATGAGAACTGATGGCCTTCTTCCCCGCCCTGTATTTAGATACCAAATCCCCATTACTCAGACCTCAGACACATCTCTGACAGCAACAAGACTCTCTCCTCTTAGCACTGACACCACTTTCTATGTGTATAATAGTTGCTTATTGCTTCACACTCTTCTGGGTGGCGGGGTGAGGGCAGAAATGGGGTGCCTGTATGTGACATGAGAGAGCCAGCAGGGTAGTAAAAGCAAACAAACAAAAAAACACCCCAAACCAATTGCCATCATATGTTTCTGATTCATGGTGACCTCATGAGTGCAGAGAACTGTGCTCCATAGGATTTTCAAGATTGTGATCTTTCAGAAGCAAATCACCAGGTCTTTCTTCCAAGGTGCCTCTGGGTGGGTTTGGACCACCAGCTTTTCAGTTAGTAGTTGAGCATTTAACTGTTTGTACACCCAGGCACTCCCACTAGTGGTGGTGGGCAGTTGAAGATTCAAATGGGTAAGAAGTCTGCATTCCACAGGGTTAGGGCAGTGATCATGCAACCTGCAGGTTGCCTATTGGAATCACTTGGGAGTTTTCAAAAAATACTGATGCTGGGCTTTACCCTAGGCCAATTAAATCAGAATCTGTGGAGGTAGAGCCTGGACATCAGTTTTGTTTTGTTTTTTACAACTCCTAGGTTATTCTAAGAACCACTGGGAGGGTATGTCAGCTGTCTCTGCTTAGCTGATAGGCTGAAATTTAAAGGAATTCCTCTTTATAGAAGCAGGAAGTCCATATATAGACTATACAAGAGAGCATGCTTTTGAAGTACGGAAAGTTGGATTGCTGTTTGTGGCAGAAATGCCTCAAGAGTAAAGACACCCACCATGGTAGTCATGTGGCCTAGGAGACACTAGGTCTAGATGCTAACGTAGAACAACAGGTGAAGCTGAAGTTCTCCAAAGGGCTGGTCTAGCTTTAATAACTGACTAGAGTTTGTGCTTCAGGCAAACAAAACAAAGCAGAGACAAATGGGTCAGCAGCAAAAACAGGACTTTAATTCCACTCCATTAGCATTTATTAGTGCCTGCTAAAGGCAACACAGATGTCCAAGGGCATAGAGGCTGGGGGTGGGGGTAGGGGACATCTGAAAGACAGTCTGAGCCCAGAGGCAGAACATTTGGGGCAATTTAGAAAGTCACCTTCTTCAGCAGGTATCCAGAGATCATGGTATGACCCTTAAGGGCAGGGAAAGTTACAGAGCCAAAGGGCATCTAGTCTCTTAGAGGTCCACACTCCAATAAAAGACCAGGAATCTGGTTCTAGAACAGACTGAGATTCCTACAGATCTGCTCTGTCTCTGGTTGGGGTGTGGGTAGCCTGACACTGATGAAGGCAATACCAAGAGGAAAGACCTAGAGCATGTAGAGCAAGAAAGCTGGGTCACACCATTCAATCTTTACTTATCTGCATAATTTCTCTGCTTTTGAATCCACCTCTCCCCAGTTTAAATTCTGTTTGGTTTGTTTCTGTTTTACAAATAATGATCTTATAGAGTTTGAACCTAAGCAAAAAGGGAGTCATTCCCAGTTAGACCAGAATAGTTAGAGCCAGGATAGCACCCTGAGAGCCAGGTCTGATGGTAGCAGATCTGCTGGTACAAAGTAGACCAGACAGGGCTGGAGAGAGAAACCCCAGTGGTGGATCGTGGACCCAGGAAGTTGCCTTGGGGCGGCTTTTTGGCACTGAGAGTCCTCAGGAATGGGCTTTTTGCATGTGTCTGAGCCTGGCGAAAAGTGGTGACCCCCTAACAACTGGAGTCTTTCCTGAAATTGAGCTACAGGCCTGTAAATAACAGTACGATGTCATCGGTAGCAGCCCACTCAAAGCCCTAGAAACCGCCCCTACCAATAGCAAGCTTTCCTTTTTCCACTCCTACCTTCTCCGCCAATAACTTCACTCATCCAATAGAAGAAACTACACTCAGCCAACATAAAACCTCCCATTTTGAACTCTAAACTCTCTTTATAACAAACATAAACCCATATCCACATTCCACACAGTGATTCCACCATCACCCAGCATACCTGAATTAATAACTAAATAAAATAAAAGACACCAGCTTCACCTTTTCAAAATATTAAATCATAAAACCAAGACAAAACAAATCAATACATAACCAACAGTTAAAAACAACCTCAAAATGTCTAGGAAACAACAAGCAACCTCAAATCAAACAAACAAACAAACAAAAACAGGACAAGGCATTAGAAGCAAAACCACAAACAAAGGTCTTATTATACATGGAGGAAGAGGAGGCAATAGAATTATTTGAGAAGGAATTTAGAAGATATGTTTATAGAGCTATACAAGAACCTAAGGAAACCCCAAACAAAAGCAAGGAGAACACAGACTCCTTGAACTCAGGAGAATCATTCAGGAACAAAATAATAAGATTAATGCACAGTCAAAACTCATACGAAAACAGGAGTCACAAATGCAGATGAGTACCGAAATCCAGAAGATGAGTACCAAAATGACAGAATTACACAACACAGTAGAAGCACAAAAGAGTAGGTTAGAACTGGCTGAAGAACGCATATCCCAACTAGAAGACAAATCCCTGGACACTAGCCTGTATGAAGAAAATTCAGAACAAAGATTTAAGAGAAATGAAGAGAACCTAAGAATTACATGCGATGACATGAGAAAAAACAACATAAGACTCATTGGAATTCCAGAACAAGAAGAGAGAAAAAAGACCACTGAAAAAATTGGAGAATACCTGCTAATGGAAAACTTCCCCCATATCATGAAGGAAGAAAAGATATTTGTCCAAGAAGCTCATAGAACCCCACACAAGATAGATCCCAAGAGAAAAACACTGAGGCATATTATAATCAAACTCTCCAAAACCAAAGACAAAGAAAAAATTTTGAGAGCTGCTTGGGACAAAAGAAATATTACTTATAATTATCAAACAGTTAGGGTGAGCTCCAATTACTCAGCAGAAACCATGCAGGCAAGAAGGCAATGGGATGGCATATATAAAACACTGAAGGAGAAGAACTTCCAACCAAGAATCCTATATCCAGCCAAATTATCCATCAAATATGAGGGCAAAATCAAGACATTCTCAGACAAACAGAAATTAAAGGGTTTTGTGAAAACCAGACCAACTCTACAAGAAATGCTTAAGGAAGTCCTTCCAATAGAGAACCCACAACAGAGATCAACAAAACCAGGATACGTGACATCAACACTAAAACCAAATCAGAAATAGATACTCAAAAAAAGACCATAAAACACTGTACCTTAAAAACCAAGGAAGTCAATCACCATACAACAACAGCAACTAACCTATCAGAGGGAATAAAACTTCCAGGTACAGACTTTCAAATGGAGAGGAAAACAGGACAATGTCTTCACAGTACGCACTGTTCTAAAAATGTAGAGACAAGAATATACTCCAAGGTAACCACAGAGAAAAGTAACAATCCTTCTAAACAAATCCAGAAGGAAGGAAAACATATGGGTTTAATAAGCACAAAACCAACTATAGAAAAAAAGGGAGAAGGCATAAGCCAACAAACCAAACTCAGCACAGAAAAGTATATGGACCAAAGAAACACCAACAACATGACAAAAAAACACAATAGAATGACAGCAATCAATTCATACCTATCACTAATTACACTCAATGTGAATGGACTAAATGCACCTATCAAGAGAAAGAGAGTGGCAGATTGGATAAGAAAAGAAGACCCATTGATATGCTGCCTACAAGAGACCCACCTTAGACACAAAGATAAAAACA